TTACCTGCTGATAGGAAAGGCAGGCTTGTTTCACAACCTTGAGGGGCGCTTGCAAACTATTTTAAAGCTGCAGTTTATGTTTTTAAACTTTAATTCAACTGTGGACCAAGACAGTGAAGCTCTGCCTCCTCACACCCTCCCCAACGATGCAAATTGGGGAACGCAAGTCAACTTACTTATACTGCTCTTTGGCCTGCATAATAACAAAATCCCATTTGTAGTTTATTTTTTGATTGAGCATGTTGTAATGTTCCTGGAATAAAAAGAAAAAAGCAGTTAGTGTGAAAATTCTGGACAAGGCGCTCCCATGCTAGGGTTTTCTTGACTCTCCATAGCTCAGCTAGGCCAGGCTGGCAACCAAGCCAAGAAATCTGGATTGTTCTGAACATAATTACATGAATTGCAACAGTTCAAAAATACCACTGCAAGGAGAGCAATTATCCCCGCTAAAATTATCATTCACTTCAGAGTATTTTCCTGTACTGGCCACTTTTTAGCTTCCAAAATTTTGGCTTTTGACACTGCTGGAGTAACACCTCATGCAAGTGAAGAGGGGATTGTTTTTTTGTCACACTGTTCATTAGCAACAGAGGGCTAAAGCTGTAGCAAACCACGGGCTGCAATGGAACAAGTACAACATCTCCTTACCTTTTCATATTCTTCTAAAATCCCTTTCCTCTTAATGTTCTTCTTTGCTAGGTAAATTGCTGTGGAGGGAGAAGCAAACAAGCAGTCAGTTACACTCGGGCCAACAAATCCGAGAATAATTAAAAATTCACCCACACGACAAACACGGGAATCTCTGTCCCTTACAATAGTTTCCCAGGCATGAGCTCCAAGCTCACAAAAGCTCACCAAAGAAAAATGAACTTGCTGCTTTGACTTCGTGGCTGATACTTCACGAGCCAGTAGCCAGGCTGGGAGCAGCCACGAGAGCAGGAAACGTGTTCCCTGTGCCAGCAGTCACTCCTCCTCTGGAAGCTTCATGGGCCAAAGGAGACTGGAGCAAACCTTTAAGATACTGAGGTTCTTTGGAGTCTGACCTCCAGGTTTTCCAAACACAGGCCCATGTTTTGCTCCAAGTCGCATTAAAAACATTCCCATCTAAATTGTTGTGGTTTTTTTTTAATTCTCCAGATCTATGGCATAAAGTAGGTAAAATCCACAGAGGACAAACTTGGTGCAAACAAATTAGTCCCTGAGATGCACAGCCCAAGTTTCATGACCAGCCCTTCAATAAAAAGCATTAAGAATGTTAACAAAAGGTTGATACGGAGAGAGCCATCAGGAAACATTAGAAGCATTATACAAAGAAAGAACCATCTCTGAATGCAGGGCTTGATCCAAATCTACAGGCAGACAGTCTTGGGCTCAGATCCAGGAACACACTTCACTACTCAGGGAAATCCAACCTTGTGTTTAAAGGCTCCCCTACCCAGCAGAGTATTTCAGATGTGCTCCAGTCTTTGTGGAACAGAAGCTTCAGCACTCTCATCAAGACCACCACAAGGTGGTCGCATCTCGAGTATTCCCTCAACTCAGAATTACTAAGAATTATTCACAAAACAGTGGGAAAGAAATTGCGGGGCCTGGTCATTGCATGTGGACACACGGCACAAAGAGGTGAACAGCAAACACAGTGCAGGACTGCTTGCACAAACACGTGGGCTTGCACGACACCTCCTCAACACGCACAGTGCCGTCACTCACCATAGTCTGTGTCATCGGCAGGCCAGCTCTGCGCCGGCCAGAAATAGGGGGTCTGCAAAAAACCAAGCCTTTGGTTAGCACTCACAAGCCTGGAAATCATGTCAAGAAGCACAGAGCACTGAGGGGAGAGGAAAGTTCTCCAGTGCCATACTCAGAGCCTCAGCTCCCTGACTGTGTGTCAGCGTGCACGGAGGTACGGGTCAGCTACAGCAGAAGAATCAAGGCCAGCAGATTGCCAATGTCAAACCCACTCCTGCCCTGCAACCAGTTAACACGGGCACGCTCTCACGGCAGCCTGAGTATTCAAACTGGGATGCTGGAGCCTGATTTGGCACCACACGGGAACCAGCCTCCTCATTCAAAGTACCACCAAGGGTACCCTCATTTCCCACCACCGCGGAAACAGTCCAGCCATGGACCTCGATAACATCCTGTTGTTACTGTGCTTTCTGTGTATTCATTACTCAGCCCCCCCAGTTCATTCTATTTTCAAACACCAATTCCATTTGCTACTTTAAGACCCGGAAGGGAACACACATTTGGAAGAGAGCACGGCTATTTTGAAGCTGAACAAGCACGCTAATTTAGCTGAAGGAAGTATCACTGTTTTCCTGTAAACTGTAATCTGTCGCAGGGAACTGGACTGAAGCTTCTCTGTGGATCCCTTTCTCCTGTACACGGAACAACTACCACGGCTACACAGCATGGCCTCACCACTACAGCTCCCGGGGAGCTGCCCCAGCTGCCTGCTTTTAAAAACAGTGCTGAACTCCTTCTCAATGGCTTTAGAGAAGATGCAACTCACTTGAAACCTGTACAGGCTGCCATCTGCCCTGAGGGTGAGATTCTTTGGCTCCTGAAGAGGGTAGATGTATCCATATTTGACAAACATGTCCCCTAGGTGGAGCGCCTCTGGAAATTAAGAAGGCAGACGTTACGATTGCATAGAAACACTGCACTGGAATTTAAAAGTGAGCTGCTGCTAAGAAGAGAAGAATTAATCTAAGAGGTTTTGTCTGCGGGGAACCCAAAGCTGAAAAAGCCTAAATTTTTAACGTTTCTACCTACCTTCCCCAGTGATCTGCAAGCGCTGAAGAATCCATTGGCATATATCATTACCTGTAAAACAAAGAAAGCATCAGGTGCTTGAATTTGGGAGTGTGCCAAAATTTCACGGTGAAATACAAGACCTCTCCAGCCCTCAGCCCTCACTGTGCTCTGGATTGCACCGAGTGCCCAGACCCCTCTTGCAAGCACTCTTTCAGATGCACCGTGCAAGGGAAGGGGAGACAAAATTCTATAAAATGAGCTGCCAGACTCTGCCTGGCCAGGCTGTTGTTCAGGCTTTCTCTTCACCAAGAGAGCATCAGTCCCTGGGAGAGGGCCCGAGGCAGGCAGCGACCTCAGGATGGCAGAGCACAAGCGTGCAGAACCCTACGTGGCCCGAGCAACGCTTAAACCCTCATCATGGGCTTAGGAAGCACTTATGCAACAGCTTCTGTACTCAGAGAAGGTGAAAGGCCCTTCTTTTGCATCATCTTGTCTTGAAAGATTCACCGCAAAGCGTATCTGGATTTGCAGAGCACAGTCCTGTCCTGGGTTTAATATGAGACCAGTGACTGGTCCTCCTGAGTCCATTAAGAGACACGACTTTGGGTGCAAAAGGGATGCCCGTGTCTCAGATCCAAGCTGTAGTGGTAACAGGACATGTCAAAGGGAAACAAGATTTCTGCATTCACAAACACTTCATCTCTCCCAGCTCTTTTGCTGGGGTGTGACCAGTCACACCCACAATCAGCATAAACTGCCAGCAGTTTGAGTTTTATATTCTGGAGGGCAAATTTCATGAGCCTCCTTCCATTTAAACAGGGAAAAAAATGCACTTGTTCCCTCATCAGTTATCGGTGGTTTCCTCCAAACATCCCCTAGGATTGCAGACTGAGGTGTTGACCTTTCTTGACATTGCAGCGATGACTTAACTTTCTAATAGGGGCTCAGAGCTCTTATCCTACCGCCTGCTTCCTGAAATAGATGAAATTAAAGGATTATCTCATCATTCATTTCTAGACAGCTCTCGCTGTAAGCATTTTCCCCCAAAGGGGTGTATTTAACACGAAGGTTTATTTGCTTTTTCAGTTGTGAGCCATTTTACTTACCTTGAACTTAACTAATTAGCTTCCTGCATGTGAGAAGCCAAGCTCTCAATGGCTCTGTGTCCACTGCTCTCATGTCTTCACTATCCCCTCACTAAACATGAACCAGTCTCTTTCGCAACACCCAGAAGCCAATCAGTACACATGCAATTTCTGCAGCACTAAAAATATCACAGTTTAGAGAGTGATGACCACCGCTCACGGAGACTGGAACTCTCTAGCCTGTCAGAAGCTGACTGGAATTTATGACTTATGCAAGAGGAAACTTGTAGCAATTCTGGTAACGGAACCAGAATAAAGCAGACAGCACGCAAAGAGGATAAGCATCAACGGGCATCCTCCCTCCACACCCTCTAGCTATGGGCTTTTAGGAAGCGGTATTTGACATTGGTCAGACAGTAAGAGAAGTACTTGTTCCCCCTGTGCTTAACCTAGGCGGCACGGCACCTTCAGTACCGGGGAATCTTCTCTGCAGCACTGCCTTAGCTATTTACTAAGAGCTACGGGAGGCAAGGCCAGCTCCTTTTCAGATGCAAAGCACTCCACAATTTCAGCTGCACAACAGTTACGTACGCCAAGGTATGGTTCGTACTATAACGCATTGAGGGTGCTGCTGAGTAAAAGCTTTAGATGTCATCCAAGTTCTCCTTACCCTTTCACTGACTGACTCTACCCATGGCCAAGTGACTTCATTTCAGTGCCTCTGCTTCCTCTTTTTTTTTTTTTAAAGGTGGCAAACAGCACACAGAGCCTACCGAGCTTTGCAAATACAGTGGGGGAAAATTAATTTATTTGGCAAAGTTGTCTCCTGAGTTGCCTGGAGCAAGCTCACTGCTTTCAGTGGGACTTTTTGTTCTGAATTTCAAAGTGCTGCAGAAAGACCAAAGCAGGAGAAGGAAACTTTCGTGCAGCATGTGTGAGCTTTTGTGGAAGCGCGGAGCAGAGGGAAGCAGAGGTACTGATAGTGCCCTGCGAAAGGAGCTGGCAGGCACACAGAGCACGGCGGTAAGAGCTGCCTGTCGAGCCATACGTGACACAGCACAGCTCCCTGTTTCTTCTTCAGCCTGCCTGAAGGAGGAAAAGCTGTCATTTAGCGGCAGAGAAGGGGACTGAATATTTTGGGCTTTTCTGGTGTACTGAAGAAAAATCATAATTAGCAGAAAACATTAGAAAGGAGACTAATTGTTTATCACTCATTTCTGAAGTATCATCTTTCAATCTGACTCCAGGTTGCCTATTTTAACCAGATTTTAATATTTATCTTTAGTTTTGATCCAGCCTCCCTGGGAATATGACAGGTTTGGAGGCTGAAGCACCTACTCACCTCTGTGCTAAAGGAAAGCAAGGTCATTTGCATTAAACACACGGGACACTAAAAGCACTGATTGTCAATCTTTGTGTCTCCGATTCAAGGAGCCAGGAGTGAGATGAGACACGAGTGAGAATGAGATGAAGGGAGCAGCTATGTCTCAAAGGCTGTACAGCAGATATTTGTTGGGAACAAGGGCTCCAGCGCACAGGCAGGCAGTGGGGAGGGGGCCAGGAGGTGCACACACACAGCTTGGCTTTGATGAATTTCCTTGTCCCAGTCCCTTCTCCCAGCACAGCTCTTACCTGTCACAGCGTGTGGGATGTCTGTGACCATCACCTTCTGCGTCTGCGTCTTGATGCCTTTGTCTGGATTCTGCATCTCCATCATAAGTGCTTCGATCTGCAAAGGACGGCAGGGACGGGACAGATTACAGGACTGGGCAAGAGGGAGCTCCAGGACCATGAGGGCTCAGGGCAGCAGCCCAGAGGGGTGGGCAGCAGAGCTACAGGAATGGACACAACAGCCACAGTCCTCTCCAGACCTCCCCTTGCCAGTAGAGATGCCACCTCCAAACCACGTCCGCTCTCACACTCACTCACAGTGTCACTCCCTTCTACAGAAGATGAGTGTGCAGACTGGGTTAGCAGACAATGGACGGGATGTAACTGCTCCATGAGATAACTTTATTAAAAATAAAAAAAAAAAATCTCTACTACCCATAAATGCTCTTCTCTAATTCAGTGGGATAGTCACATCTTTTCAATAAGGAAAAAAAAAAAAAAAAGAGGAAATAAAATCTGCGCTTCCGTTGCACAAATACCCCAGCTGTGTAGATATTGCACCATGGACCAAGAAAATAAGCAATGTCTTGGCTGAAGACCAAACTGCAAAGGTTCTGTTTCTAGTCCATAGATAATAACCAGACAGGACTTCAGAAGAGCAGCAGGAAAAGCGCACCGCTCTGCTGCAGGGCTGAGCAAGAAGCTCAAACCCAGGGGGGGATGAGAACAGCCCATCCTTTGAGAAAGCACAGCCACCACCCGAGCCAAGGCTTTGAAAAGTTGGCCAAGGACTGATTACAGCAAGGACCAGAATTTACATGTGGGAAAGCAAACTGCAAACACAGAGAGGGGATCAAGGGACTCTCTGGCCGCTCCTGGGGATGGCTGAACCACCCACCCGGGGCTTTCGCCTGTGTGTGGGTAGCAAAGCTCAGTCCCTCTGGGGTTGGGGCAGAGACATCAGCCAGGGCAACTTGTCCTCCCACCCCACAGCACCTCCTGCTTTTGATTTCCGAGGGATGCTGATGGCTCCTTTATAACCCATCATGTTACAGAGGACGAGTCTCGCCCTCAGGGCCAGACTTCTTTTATTTCTGGTTCCCCATTATCTTTTGTGCTTGTTGTTTGGAGGTTTTTTGTGGTTTGTTTTTTTTTTTAATTAAGATTTTTCAAAGGTATTTTTCTCCTCTTAGATCTGACTTCCTACCAGCACCATCCCAAATCCACCAGAGCCTCTTGCTTGTACTTGGGATCCTCCGCTCCGAGGAAGGAGCTGGGGCTCGTTCCTCACCTCCTCGGTTCAGATTATCCGAGTGCCAGGAGAGAGCAGTGGCTTTATGGAAGATCCTTTTCTTTCCGTCTCCTGCTTCCAGAGATATTAAATCAAAAACGGTCCAACAGGACCAATTTGGTCTCTCCGCACATTCATTTTGGGTGAGGCTGTAGCTTTTTAACTGGGATTAGAGGATTTAACGCGTGTGACTTGATGACACTCGCACATAATGAAGGGTATTGTCTTCACAGGCACCACAGTGACTTTGGGTCTAAGTCTTGCCAAGTTCAGTGAGGATTTAAGCCTGTAGTGACAGGATGCACTCTGAGCTTGACAGTAAAAATGGATTTTCAACTGTTTTTAAAGTCAGCGCAAATTAATACTAAAAACGGAGAAGCTTGGCAAAATTTCACAAAAAATATTTGTATACATACTTGAATAAAATAGTTTGAAATTGCAAAGCCAGACCCTAAGCGATGTAGCATGAAGGCTTATTTAGACCTTTTAACTAAATCCCCATTTTGGCCTCAGCAAGTTCAAGCTGTGTGAGATGAGACAAAGCAGGATGGCCCAGCAGGCGGGGCACTGATTTAGGAAACTCAGATCCAGGTCCCTCTAAGCAAACCCAGGTATCTGGGGGAAGTCACTCTCCGTCACCGCCTGCCCGCACCGCAGACAGCGCTTCTTCAGCACACAAGGACACTGCGGGGAGGACACAGCACTGCCACCACCGGGCACGTCCCACCAGGCTCAAGCAGGACTCGTCCCCTGCGAGCAGCACACCTGCCCTGCCCCAGCACATTCGCTCCTGGTGGGTTCAAGAGACAGGACTTTACGAGCCAAGAGCAAGGAATTGGCTCAGCAACCCACGCGTCCTTCCCAGCACAGCACGCTCCCTTTCTTCAGCCTGCAAAGGGCTCCAGACTCTTGTCACGTTCATACCCCGCTGGGCTCCCTCTTTTCACTGGAGTAATAATATATATTTAAAAGAAACAAGTGAGATGAGCCGGGGAGATGCTGTTGGGGAGTGCCTGCTGCTCTGGCTGCAAACCATGCGCTCCGCTGATCCCAACTCAGCCTGTCTCTTCCTCTTCTCCTCGGGGAATGCTGCTGATTACAGGTTGCTGGCAATGAGGAGTTGCTGTCAGCACCAGCCTGCCAGCAAGAGGCCAGAAGGGTTGGTTAAAACATTTGCTTGCTTTGCTAAGGGCCCTGGCACATTTTGTCACAATTTCAGCCAGGGGAGCTCTGTCTGCTTTGAATTTTGTACAGCCAGAAGCTGCTTCCTGACACGTGTTGATGGATGGAGATGCACGCAGAGGTGATGTAGCAGGAGGATGGCTAAAGGAGCCAAGCTCTGGGGTGAGCTCACCTCAAGCACAGAGCCACCACGAGGCACGATCCCCACCGGGGTCTCCCTTCAGATCAGCTGGAATCTCTGCACAGAGGTAACTTCACCCCAAAAGCCTCAGAGGAGACCACAGGAAAAACTGAGACTCCCAGCATTCAACAGCAAAACATTTCCAAGGTGAGGAGTTCAGCCCCTCTCTGCATCAACCCAGACAGACGCATCTTTACTTTAGATGTAAGAAAGAAATTTCCTCAGCAGGCTCCAGCTCACAGCCAGTGCCCACTCCTGGTGCTATAATTAAATATCTTTCTGCACCATGAGTATTTGCCCAGTTTTAGCCCCCATCACAGCCTGGTTCTGTTTATAAAGATCATCCCTCTCTGCTCTGACTTCCAAAGTAGCAATACAATCCTTTGTCACAACTCTGCTCTCAGAAAGCTAATTCGATTGTTTTCTAGGCCTGTAACAGACAATCTCCTTTGCTCATCTGTGGATGATGGGGAATGAAGAAACGAAAAAAATAACATCAACTGTTAACCATCTAAAGCTCACACACCTCAAGCAGTACCTAGGCAGACAAAAGCCAGTTGCTTTTGTACATTCTAAGCCTGGAGAAGCCTCCAGCCGTGCTGCGGACCCTGCGCTGATCCTCGCCATCGGGGCCCAGAGCGAAGAGGAGGCAGAGGAAAAAGGCGAGTGGCATCCATCAGCCCTATGCACGAGAGATGAGTCACGACACAGCTCCTGTAGCACAGCAAGGAAAAACACCCAGTCCCAGCAGCTGCCGGAGAGCATGACCCTGCCCGGCACTGCCTCCGGCTTCGCCAGCCGGTGCCCAACACAGGGCAGATCCTGGGTGCTGGGGCAGGCACTGAGAGCTTGGGATGATTCACGCTCTCCCAGCTTCTGGCCAAGCCAAAATGCATTTCAGAGGCTTCCTCCCCATCCCGGCAGACTTTTATGTCAATAGCCTTCCTACTAAGAGGGTTTAGAAGCGGAAAAATTAGAATGAAACAATTAGCATTTCATGGACTAGCAGGCACTGCTGGGCCTTGGAGGGGGCTCTCTGATTCCGCCGTGGTTCAGCTGTGAAGACCAAGCTCTAAATCCAGCTCGAGCTGTGCAGAGCAGCCTCACAGCAAGTACAGGCACTGCTCACCTGCCCCAAGGCCAGCCCCTCTCCTCTCCCCGCAGCCGATGGCAGGATGGCTGCGGTGAGGAGCTGCTGCTCGAGAACCAGCGCGGAGCCGCGTCGCAGCTGCAAAGGCGCAGCAGGGCCACAGCAGCCCCACAGCACAGCAGGGATCCCTCCCTCCACGCGGCTGGAGCAAATCCACGGTCACAGCCCATGTGCCAGCTGCTGGCAAAGCTCACGCACAGATTTAAGCAATTAAGAAAGCTGCTCTCTAGGATTTTAGCTCCTCACAGAGCTAAGCCCACAAGGTGATCGCTGGACACGTGCCAAGCATCCTCAGCTCCCACCACAGGCAACGAGCAAAGGCGCTCGGTATTTCAGGGCAGCCCGGAGGTTGTGGCAGATCACGCTGCTGTGTAACAACTGAGGCTCCACACACAGCTTCCTCAAGGTCTGGAAAAAACAGGGGAGGCAGGGAAGCAGAGACGAGAGCCAGATCCTTTATCTGGGAGCTTCCTTTCCCAGTGCTAACAGGTCTTAGACTTGCAAAGCGGTTGTAACTACTCAAACCCTCTCTGTGCTCACAGTGCGAGAGACGCATGCTCCGTCACAGCGAGTTGCTGTATTTTAATAGATCTTCCCACCTGAGGAATTCGGAGCACTTGCAAAGACTGCTACGCTCCTACGGCGCAGCTAAAGCACAGCTGCTGGAGGTTGTTTTCTTTAAGCACACAGCTTCTCCTCCACAACCCCGCACGCAGCTCCGCAGAGTATTACTCAGTACAGAATTTGGCCCAGAGTATTTCCTTTGGCAGGGCTCAGCAGCCAAATTTACCTTGAAAGACACAAGAACCAAAAAAACCCACCTACTTTACTACTTCTAGTGTAAAAAACACAGTGCGTGTATTGCCAGGCTCATACCTTAGCACTGAATAGCCCCAAATTTACCCCTGTTGCCCCCAGAATCCTCCCTTAGGTCACAGATGTTGCAGGAGTGCTAATCACAACTCAACCAGCAACTGTTTGGCTTTCCTTGTCACTGGGAATTCAGTTAATTCCACTCAACAGGATAAGCTACAGGCAGGGGAGGTGGGTGGGAGAAAAGCTAGCTTAACACTCTGCTTTTTAAAATCTGTAGATACCAGATATCCTAAAACTGGCTACACTTTTGAATGAATGCTACAGGAAAAAGAATACCAAACGCTTTACAAAAATAACGCCTCACATCCGAAAGCATAGGCGTACGTCTTCCCACTCTTTCAACTGTTTCTGGTCACAAATACGCTGCTTTCTGAAAAAGTGGAAAGAGGCAGAGAGCAGGCAGTTGACCACGATGCACCCTCTGAAAGCAGACATCAC